AATTTTCTTCCCCGTTCTCCCTCTTCTCTAGGTACATATGTAGTAATGCAATTGCCATGTCCTTATGGGAAGCATCAAGTCAACAATAGTAGAAAGTATAAAACGATTTCAATGTTTTCCTACAGCAGTGTCCCTTCTCCCTGGAAACTGTGAGCCAATGTTTCCCTACTGATTTTCTGTCTGGATTAGTGACAATGCGGTATTCAAGTCCCCCACTATTATTGTATTGCTGTCCATTTCATCCTTCTGGTCTGTTAATATTTGCTTCATATACTTAGGTGCTCCAGATAGTAAGTATAAACATTCTAACCTGTATATATATATATATGGAAAGTAGAGTGAACAAATATTGTCACATTTATTAAGTGTAAGATTGTAAAGGAATAAGAATAAATGAACTACCTAGATAAATTGCACAATCATAATGTAAAGAGAAAAACATCCAATTCTATAATATCTCATTTACACAAAGTCTAAAACATCCAAATATAACAAACTACTGCCACCTTTGGGATTGAGTAAGGGATATAATTGGAATGACATGGGGTAGGTTCTCTTTCTTAACCTGGTAATAGTGACATGAGTGACTCACTTTGTGATAATCTATCAGAAGAAACATAAATTTTAACAAGTCATGTGTTGAAACTTTGAGCACTTTTAAAAATAAATGTTAACTATAAAAATTTTGAACACTTAGGACTCACAGATAACTCATGTATCATCTTATCTAGTCAAAGTCCCTTAATGAAAAAAAGGAACACAAGTAAAGTGCAGTCAGTGATGTGAGGTCACTGAGTCTGCTGGTAAAGACTTAGAATAAGAGTCACCAGCTCATCCTCATTTTTTGCTTGGAACTACCCCAGTTAAATGTGAAAGTCTTACATCCTGTGAAACCTCTCAGCCAGGACTATTGGTCACCCAAGACAAAAAGTGACTAATGCTTTCTTGTCTCATTGGACTGCTCCTACTTCTATCCACCTGCTTTGGTTCTGCCTTAAAATGTGAAAGACATTGTGCCAAACACCCTCTACCCAAGTGCCTCTGGTAGAACAGGGTACGCAGGTGGAGTGGATGCTACGGATAGATACGGGTAGTGGTCCTGAATCAGGCTTCTGTGGGGAAACAGACTTGGACTCGGGCGTGCATGCAGTTTGTGACTCTGAACATATCAGCATGGTGCCCCTCTGCAGGAACACGTCCCACTCTAAGTACAACCAAGGAAGAAATCTGGAGAGACAAGTGCTCTGACCCTCCGTCGGCCAGTGGGAACTGCATCACATGATCTGATTGTGATCATTACAGGAACGATGCTGTACCTTCCTTTTTCCTGAAAAGGAGTTTCTATGAAGTATTCTCAATTAAGAAACACATGAAACACTTACTTGCTAAAAATTCATAAGAGGGAACAACTTCCTCTTTCACAATTCCCTAGTGGCTACGGAAAACAATATAAACAACAACAAGCAAAGTCCTTGTCATTGGTCCAAATTTTGGGGGGTCTGGACTATAAAAAGCTCCAGAACACAAGGAGTCATCAGAATCCGAAAAACTCACCTGTGAGCAAGAGCCCCCCTCTATCGTAACACGATGTGCCAGTCGTGCTGCTCCCCTTGCTGCCAGCCCACCTGCTGTGGGTCTTGCAGCCGCCCAACTTGCTGTCAAACCAGCTGCTGCAGGACCACCTGCTGCCGGCCGACTTGTGTGACCTCCTGCTGCCAGCCCACCTGCTGTGGGTCTAGTGGCTGTGGGTCCAGCTGCTGCCAGCCTTGCTGCCGCCCAACCTGCTGTCAAACCAGCTGCTGCAGGACCACCTGCTGCCGGCCGACTTGTGTGACCTCCTGCTGCCAGCCCACCTGCTGCAGCACTCCCTGCTGCCAGCCCTTCTGCTGTGGGTCCATTGGCTGTGGACAGACCTGCTGTGGGTCCAGCTGCTGCCAGCCTTGCTGCCGTCCAACTTGTCAAACCAGCTGCTGCAGGACCACCTGCTGCCGGCCGACTTGTGTGACCCCCTGCTGCCAGCCCTCCTGCTGTGGGTCTAGTGGCTGTGGACAGACCTGCTGTGGATCCACCTGCTGCCAGCCAGTGTGCTCTGGACCCGTGTACTGCCACAGAACCTGCTACCGGCCCACCTGCTGCAGCCTGCCTGGCTGCCTGCCACAGAGCTGTGGATCCAGCTGCTGCCAGCCTTGCTGCTTCTGATCCTGTCCCTGTAGAATCATGTGACATGGACTAACCTTTTGACAGCCAACCTGTCAGATCTACAGTTGCTGCTACCACCAAGGCTTTACTACCATCCATCATGCTGCAACCATGTTTCTATTCATTTTGTTTTTTGTACCACGAGGCCCTGTGCGTGGGCTTGGTAAGGCACAGTTAACTCCAATCTGATTTTCTTCATCTACATTTGCTTTTGACCTCTGTGATAGCTGTAGATCTTAAGTCTCCTTGACCTACAGTCATTATGTCAGCCTTGCAAGATGAAAACCACTTTCCCTATAAGAAATGTTAAGCGCAAATCCTTGTGATTGTTTTCTTAGATATCTTCCATGTTTACTACTTCCTCATAATCATTTTTTCTAATGCACTTATTCTTCTTCTGTCTTACTTCCACCTTTACATGATTACTTTTCATTGTTTTCCCAGGTATGGGGAGGCTTCCCTGGTTCCTTTCCAATAAAGCCTTTGCTGTCTTCCAGCCTATATTGTGATTTTACTTTTTGTACAGCCTTTACTTGAAAGCCTTACATTATTCATATTTCATTTCACATGTATTCATTCTTCCTTGGCAGGATGAGGGGCACTTGTGAGAACTGAAGAAGGCTGAGCAGCACCCTGGCCTCTGCCCACTAGATGCCAGTAACAGCCCTTCCTAGTTTGTTGTGTAGAGCTCAGATGGGTGGGGAAAGTGGGTAAATGGAAAAAATACTAGAGCAGAATCCAAAAAGGAATTTTCTAGATATATAGAATTAGATAATAAAATGTGACATCAAGATTCAAAGGATGCCCCAAAGCAATGTTTTGAGGACAATTGACATGTTTATCTTCATCTTAAAAGAGAATAAAACCTCAAAATTAATGAGTTCAATGCCCCATTTTAATAAATTAAGGGTAAGAAATCACATTGCCCCCAAACTACATAGAAGAAAACAGATACTTTTTTAACAATGAAGAAATTAAGAGCAGAAAAAAAGAGAAAATGGTACATTTCAACAAAGCCAAAAGTTAGGTCTTTTTGAAAAGTTAATCAATAGATCAAAAACTCTGGGAAGATTGGGAAGGTCAAAAGATACAAGACAAAATTGAATAATATTATGAAAAAATTAGGGCATAAAATATGTATAAAACATTTAAAAATAGTAACAAAATAAAACTTAATTATCTGCTGCTGTGCCACAAACTATTTATTACTTCAAGAACAACAACTATTTACTATTTCTTATGATTTCCGGGGATGCTTCTGTTCCACTGGGACATTAACTGGGAGAAGATACAATACAGGGCAAAGGACTGGTCTCAAGAGCATATAAATAAGTCCTAGAAACCAGATAAGCATAAACAACTCAAAGGAAAAATTGGATAAAAGATATGAAAGATATGGGTAGGAATTTTGCTTTAGAGGAAGACACATCATCAATAAACATGTGAAAAAAATACTCAAAATCGTAAGTAATAGAGAAAATCCCAATCAAAACCTCAGCAAGATTCCAATTTACACCACTGTTTTAGAAAACCATTTCAAAGTCTGACAATACCAAGAATCAGGAAGGATGTGAATCCACAGAATCTCTTGTGTTGGAGGTGAGTCAAGGGTCACATAAATCTGTGCAGTCACTTTGGGAAACAAATTGGCATTTTCTCCTAAATGATAGACCTGTCAATCAAACTTGCTAATAAACTCACTTCCCTGGCTTTGTTGACAAGCAAACATCCTGTTAATTATCTTGCTAAATTGTGAGGCTTCCTTGGGGAGTGGAGCCCTTTCACTTGGACTCTCTCTTCCTTATGTCCCGTAGATCAGCTTAGATCAGTGTGCCAGCTGCTGGTCTGCTTCATCTGTCCTTGACCTGAAACCATGACCTCAGCTTTGGAAAAGTGGCCATGCCCTCTTCCCTCTGAAAATCTTAAAAATCAAATTCTTAGGACTATTCTCCGAAGTTTCTGCAAGTGATATCTCTGCAAATGGTCAGTCTCAGCCATTCTACATCAATGTATTCATTAGTCCTGGGTCCTGCTCCTCTCTTTCATGACCACTTAGAATTATCTTCCTAGAGTCTTTACTGCTGTGGACCATACATTTGGGTTTTGTTTTGCATGGCCGTTCCTTTAAAAGTCCTTGCATGTATATTGTATTTCATATTAGTGTTTCTAACCTCACAGTAACCCCACAAGCTGGGCAGGGCAAGCATGATCATTTCCTCTTTACAAAGAAGAGTCATTTATGTGCCTCACATGATACAGCTAATCACTGATAGAACTGGTTCTAATACCCAAATGGTCTGACTCCTGATCCAGGACATTTTTATTTAGATTTTACTGTAAATAGAAATAACTCTGATAACTGAGTTTTGGGAAGGTGTACAATCTGAGTAGCTTGTCTACCAAGGAAATAATGAAGCCTTGTACCTGCAGGTCACTTTTCTACCTAAAATGGCAGTTTCCAGATCCTTTTCCTACAGACCTATGAACAATGGCAGCTTGTTCTAAGGACTCAAGTAAATGACATGAGCCCTGCATTGTCTCAGAGCTCTGGTCTGCCCCTGAGCAATTCATCTCCACCAAATTTTTTAGTATCGACAGTGTTCCTGACATTACCCTAGGATGCTGAGGAGGCTCACCTGAAGATGCTTATTCCTCTAGGTCATGTGAATGGCAGTCTTGCTTGGCTTCATTCACTGGCATCACGCACTGTCCTTCCCAAAACTGGCCGCAGCAATAGGTACAGCCTCACTTGCTCTCCAAAGACTTCCTGTGCAAATTTCTGTCCTCTTGAATCTCAGTGGGAGCTTGTGACTGCTTGGACAGAGAGGACAATAGCAGGGGTGATAGGTGACTTCCTAGCCAGGAGTCACACATCTTTAGAAGAAGGTAACTCTTTCTTGGCTTTTGCCTCTCAAAGGACGCATCTCATATCGATGGATGCCTCCATGCTGCGAGGAAACCCAGACTAGTCCATGCAGAGAGACTACCCGGGACAAGCTCAGCTCCCTCCTCTGCCAGCCCCCAGCCAGGTGAATGAACAAGCCTGCAGACGATTCTAGCCCCAACCTTTGAGTCTTCTCGCTGAGGCCCCAGACAACATGGGTCATCACTGTCTGAATCCCTGGTCTACAGAACCTATGAATCCAATAAACAGCTGTTCACACCACTACATTTTGGGTTAATTAGTTATGCAACTTCAGCAATTAGAATACCTGGACAAAAAAAAAAAAGACTGAAAAACATTCTGCAAAGCACACAAGGCACATTTTCCAGACACGGGCTCAACTCAGCTTCCTGATCAGAGCATTATATGGAAATTATATACTCACCGAATCTTAGGAGTTGAAGTAACTGAGCAACAGGTCTATAGCCCTCGGATCCAACCAGTTTCTGGACTTTGTGAGGCAAAGATGAAGCTGAAGAGATTCAGTATTGGTGTGATTCAATCAAGAAAAAACCAGCTCTCCTATAAGCCACGGTGGGTGTACTGGGCATGAGTATGGTCCTCCAGAGAGGGATACAGGTCTTCTGAAGAACTCAGCAAGGAAAAGAATATGCAGATAATTGCTGAGGAAAGACCTAATACTGGCACTGGGAAGAAAACAAATATTTTGTGGCCAGAGCCATGTCCTTGTGGTCAGGTCTTGGAATACCTAACAGGGCAGAGGGACCCTCTGAAGAGGCAGCTGCCAGGGTATCTGATTCGCTGAGTGCTCGTTTTCCTGATGCTTGACAGTGTGGAGGGATGAGCAGAGAGCCTACCCTTGATTGAGTGACTACAAGTATTAGGCCTGGTATTTTCTCACTATTTCTAATTCATAAGCCAGCAAAGTTTTATTATCTCCATTGTACAGATGAGGAAATAGAGGCTAGGGAAATGCACTGACTTGCTCAAAATTGCACTGCTAGCTAACAGCTCACCGGGCTTCAAACACGAGGCTGAGCCACACTCACTGGGTGCACCAGGTTCTCTGTTCCCAGCAAGCTGTGGAGACAGCATGAGTCTATGAGCCGTGAACACGAATGCAAATTATATGGTGCTTTCATACATTTTCATCTCTTTCCTACCCATAGTTGGGACTTGGGGGCAAGAATGAGAACAAAGAAGTACAACTGGATATTTAAAATGGCCCTTTATTTCAACAAGATTTATTGAATACTTACTATGTGTTACTGTGCCTGGCACTGGGACTATGGAAGTGATTAAGACATTAAGGCCCCCACTTTTATCCCGCTTCTAGTGCAAGACAAATAGGAGATGAAATTTATACAGTAGAAGGAGGAATGCTGAGCCTATATTATTAAGGATATAGGAAGAGTAGTTCAAGAGGGCTGCCTCTATGCAGGATTGAGTCTGACTGATCCAATCGGGGAGAGAGAGAAAAAATTCTGTATAGGACCCATGAATCAACCTGCAGTGTAGAACAGTAGATATTAAAAGAATTCAGGCATAGAAATTTGTCAACAATGTACATGCAGAAACAAAAGCTTGTTGGAATGTATCAAGTAATTTTCCCACAAGCCTGCAGTTAGTAAGTAGCAGGTCATGTACGATGTAAACCCTCATCTATCTATTTCAATCCCCATGGCCCAGCCTCTCCTATCTTCTGAAATGCAGAATATATGGATGAACATGGAAAGGGGCAGTGTGCTCTCATTATGTGAGCATCTATAGCCTTCCTGGCCAGACATGGAAAACTGGTGATGCACTGAAAATGCACATTCCCCAAAAGGGCACATAGGCAAGGAAAGGGGATGAAGGGACAGCCAAATCTCTACATGTGCATGGGGTGGGGGGAGGGGGGTCTCAGAGCACTAAAACAGAATAGAAAGTTCTTAGGCATCCAGGTAAACCGCTGTGAACTTGATTTGAATAAAGAGGACCTGGTAAGCAAAGCTAATGATGATAAACCTGCCACAGAATGACTACCTTAAAATTTGTGGTACCCACTCAGGAAAATACTTGCTTGGCTGGAATGGCATTCTGAAGAGCAGAAAAA